AATTATTAGGAATTATTATTAGGAATAAGAATAAAATATATATAAATTTTAATAAAACAATTTAATAATACAACTTGATACAATTACATATCATAATAACATATAAAAATAAAATAATTTATTTTTTAATATTTAAATTTTTTCAAATTTGATTTTAGATAATATCATGTAATTAATAAATAGTCAAAGTAATTGAAACAAATATTGCTGTTAATGATTGATCATTCATTTAAGCATAATAATGTATTCATGTCCATAAATTATTAATTAAAAATTAACCAAAAATTATTTTATAAAAAATAAATGTAAATTAAAAAATTATGAATTCTTGAAAATAAATACAAAATACTGATTTGAATAATAGTTACACTTATGTTCTTGAGAATATTTCAAAACTAAAGATACAGTAAAATATAAGTCTCAATATACCGAATATGACTAACTGTTGTAAAAATCACCACTAGTATTACCCATCTAGGTTCACATCTAGTTACCGACTACCGATGTCAACAGTTAGATGCAAGTCATATGAAACCGTTAGAATAGGACAGTCCACTGATATAGGAATATCAATGGGAATGGGTACCTGAACTCATAAAACATTATTTAAAAATTATTATTAATGCTAAATATTATTTATTAAATTAATTAAACTAACTATTCTATTATTTGTGAGAAAAACTTCATGTTAAATGATTGCACTTGAACTAAATGAAACATTACAGTACTTGAAATATTTGAGTGGAAGTAGATCCGGCTTCTGTAGGCAATCCCTCCAGTCGTTGGCATTTGATTTCACAATGTGTTTGTTGTCTTATTTTGTTTTTATTTTTCTTTCTCATTAAATAAGTCTGGGTTTGTCTGAGAGTTACTCGGGGTAAGACTCGTGTGGACGACTGGTTGATAACATTGCAGTGAAAGACCACAAACTCGCCTTTTGGTCACCATTCAGTGTTATGTATATATTTATATTCATGAAACTTATGTAAATTTATAGAAAATACTGGTTAATTACCTGGATAATATGCGCGTCTATCAATCTTGGCATCCATACGAATTGAACCATTATTATCAAATAAAAAGTCACTTTTTTGTGCACTTAATTTCAGCGGCAACTATATTTGATAAAATATTTATAATATATCTATTTATAAATAGTAATAACAAAATAGTAAAATAAATGTATATAATAAAACCATTATGTCGTTGCAAACAAGTGGTACATCCACATTAAGTTTTGTCTTAATCTTATTATTCAAAGTGAACAAGGGCCTTTGTATTTCCGCTTCAATCATCATAAATTAACTAGGCATGTAAGGAAATTTTGAGCTACTATAAGGGGAAATAAATATTATTTTATAATTCATATTGAATTTGACATATTCATAAATGCTAGTATATGTTTAATAATAAACGTTGTTAAATTAAATTACTCGTGCGGCAATTGATAGTTAAACGGGAATTCATAGACACCTTTCGATATCACTTGACTGTATGCTACAAAAATAATTATCAAATTAAAGTAATGAGAAATCATGTTAAAATAAACTCACTATTTCGCATAAAATCATAATTGATTTTAAAATATTCAATTGTGTCCCAGCATGAACCCTCGCCTTCAGGCCACATTACTCGGGCTAACCCTTTCAATCGCATCCTTACCTACAATCGACATAATTTGTATTATTTTCATATTTTAATGTCAATACAAAACCTGTGATAAATCGAGTCTTCCCTCCAGTGCTATCACACACTTTCCCGTGATATGACTTCCCAATCCATACGTAGGATTATGGGAGTCCAACACTATTTCAAAATTAGTTAATTTAATTTTGTCCATGATTGTATTTTTGTTTAAAACTCAAACTCATTTCATGACATTTATTTCTTATATGGACGACTGTTTAAATAAGTATTTATAAATG